TTTATGTTAAAAGCATAAAATAGAAGGAGAGAATATGGTAACAGTTTTTTAAGAATTATTAGTATTTGACTAATGCTCATGAATTCACCTTTGTTGGTAGAAATTAAAGGTTTTCAATTGCAATAAGTCTTGTAACCTACAATTCTAATTTAAATATAATTTGAATAGTCAATAACTCCTACATTTATCTTGCATATTTTGTAACTTATGGCTTTTGATTAACTTTTCATTACCTATAGATATGTGTAGTTGAGATAGAAAAAAATACTACTACAAGGACTTATGACTTGTGAGCTTAAATTTATATAATTACTATTATTTTCTATTGAGTAAAAAATCTAGGGAGCCCTTAAACTATCACCGTTGTCAAGTTTTGACCCCCGATCTAATTTTTGTTTTCGATAAGCCCCTAAATAATAAAAAATGCATAGTTTAAGTGCTTCCGTTCATTTTATGTGTGAGTCAAGCCGGAAGCAAATGGCATTATTGTGGGTTGTTGCCCCTCTCTGCAACTACGCTGCCGATGATTTCAATACAAGCAAACAGCCCCTGTTGATGCTTGCCAGATGTAGTACAAACCTCTCTAGTGATTCCACAAAAACCCTAAATCCTAAATCCTTGTAATTAGAAGCTTCGATGATATCCGCCTCTTCCAAATTAAGTCAGATTCTGAGCTAGCTCGTATCTTGGCTCGGCAAAATCTCCCAATGGCGGTTTTTGCAGCCACGGCGGGCTTAGCCTTTTCTCTGATGATTATACAGCTCAGAAAGAAGAACAAATGAGGCAGCAGCAGAGGAGTACGGGATTTCTTCAAGGGTGGTTGCCCATCTCTGCTTTGCCTATGATTTCGCCATTGGTTACTAAAAAACCAAGAGCCCTTCGAACAGAGCCAGGGAAATATATGTATATATATATATATATATATATATACACAAACACACATATGCATATCAACATGTGTGTGTGTGTGTGTTTAACAATAACAGGGAAGAAGCCCTCGTTGCGAGTTTTCTTTTTCTTCTTTTCTTTCTTTTTGGCGACGGTGTAATATGAGATGAAGGTGGTGGTGGTGGAGGGATTCGGCGTTTATGGAAAAGAGGCGGTGATGATATTTGTTGGGCATTATTTCTAAGCAAATCAAATCGGACATTGGAGACGATCCGACCCGTAACTTGGCTGGGCAAACTCAGCAGTTGGTCCTGATGCTTCAATTATAGTTGGACGAAATTGCCCTTTAATTCCGGCTTGACTTCAGTATAAAATGACCGGAAGCACTTAAACTATGCATTTTTAATTGTTTAGGGGCTCATCGGAGACAAAAATTAGATCGGGGGCCAAAACTTGACAACGGTAATAGTTTAAGGGCTCCCCGGGTCTTTTACTCTTTTCTATTTCATTACTAGGTAAGAAAAAGAGGTGTTTGTAGAGTTATACTCTCTTAGTTGTACAGACTAATGAAAATGATATCAAGTGTGGCTGGACTATTGTATTTTAGGAGTGACAAACTAGAGATCCTACTGCATCGAAGTTGATTCTTTCACAGAAACTTGAATCACCTTAAAGAGAACCAAATATCCATGCCTCAACCCATTGCATTTGTTTATTTTTTATATTATTATCATTTGCAATTTTTTTACATTTGATGTTATTATAGCTAATTTTGTAATTATTATAACTATCGTTATAACTACTGTTATTTTTTTATTTGACATTTGTATTTTTCTATTTGTCTGTGCTTTTAATTACTATTTCATATAAATGATTGATTCAAAATTCAACGAAGGACAGGGGTATTTTTGTGTAGTTAGCAAAATTAAAAGTTCTATGTGAATTTTTCTTAACAATAAGAGAGTTCCATTATCAGTTTGTAACTACACACATAGTAAATAATTGACATAAATAAAAGTACTAGTAGGGCATTTTTGTCCAAAAAATCATGAAGGAGTGCGTTTGTTAAAGTGCCTATTGTCTGAAAAATCAAAAACGAAGTAGGGTTAAAGTGTCTATTAAACAAGTTTAGGAGATAAAAGTGCAACTAGAGTCAAAGTTCATGGTGGCTTAATGCATTTAACCCTATCTATTTAAGCTCAAAGTGCCTATTCAGCAATAGCAATGCCATTTCCATCAATTCTAAACCATAGTTATTAAACTCGACCCGATAAAGAACTCACAGTGGGACTAGATCAATGGATCACTGGTTCAACCAATAGGTCATTGGTTGAACCGGTGAGTATTAATTTAATATTTATAAATATAAAATAGTAATTTTAATATACATAAAATATATAATAAAGTGCTTTTAGATACTAATTATTATAAAGTGCTTTTAATAAAGTGCTTTTAGAAGATTTAACTTCATTTTATCGTACTTTTAAATAAATAAATAATATAGTGCAAGTATTAAAAAAAATTATATCAGCATTATTTTTTCATTATTTTATTTTTTGTTTAAAAAAGTAATTTTCTAACTAATCAAATATTATCAGTTTAAAAGTTAAAAGTACTGATTATATAATAAAAAATAAACAAGTTTATTAAAAAAAAATTAGCTATCAAATAAAAACTAAACAAGTGGTAAAGTCCTATACATATTTAAATGAAAATCCAATGCACAAATTTTATTAAAAGCATATATACATTTTGTTTAAAAAAAAAAGGCCACAATTATTAAAAACAAATAAAGGTAAACCAGATCAATTGAAAAATTGAACCGGTTCTCAGTTGAATCACTAGATCAAACGGGTTTGTCCGAGTTTGACCAGGCCAATTGCTTATCCAGTTAAACTAGAAACCCAGCCCGGTCTAATGCCCGGGTCACTGGGCCAGACCAAAATTAATAACTATGCTCTAAACTCAATTATGGGCCAAATTTTTGGCTTTATTGGTTTTTTTTTCTATATCTCCTAGAATGTAAAATTCATTCGACTTGAACAAGATTTTGTGGAGATCAATAAAGTCGACTTTTAATGTGATAAATCATCTAGGGTTGATCACAAAGCTTGAGTTTCATTGTTTGTTATCAAATTTTATACTAGCTGTAATAAAGGAAAACATTCAATGAAGGATAAGAAAAGTATACATTCTGAAATAATTGAGTGCTTGCCTAATGCCAAACACCTTCTCCTTCTAGTAGCAACTCATTGATGCATAATTGCAATAGTAGAAAGAGGGTCTATTAAAAAAAATGACCATGAAATTTAGGCCTTGTTTTGAATTAGTTTTAATTCATTTTTGCTTTTGCCGAAATTCCTACTTCCTTAAAAATTTCTTGTAAAGTACAATGGACAGAAACTAGAAAAACTTATAGTGGGCATCTCAAGGTGTACTTTGTCTTGTTATCAATTTTGTTTGTCAGAAACTCTTGAGAAAGAGGTACAACGAGGACTCATCGTTTAACTAGTCCTAACATATCCTCCATTTAGGACAACGCATTAGCACACAGAGATGCAAACTTAGGAAAACTAGTGAAATTTCCATTTCTGTGGTTTATGAAGAAGCATTCCAACTCAATGAAACAAATAACTGAAAGACATAGGGATGAAATTGAACATCCAAGGCTTCAAACTAATATAGATTAGGCCAAGAAAAATCCTTATCCCCAGTGCTTTTGTCGTCAACTGCTCCAGTGGGTGGGGAAGCTGCACCTCTGGCACATGCTTCCAAGATCGATCTTGTGACCTCGGGGTCAATACGGAGCCTGGCCAGATCGCATTTAGCTGCGATGTTAAAGATAGCTCCGCAACAATTCTTGCTCAGTGCATATTGGTTGGCGTTCTGGCGTCCCTCAAGAATGTTCAAAATATCAGCACCGCATTCTGCAATGGCCGGCAGGGCTGCCAAACATTCCAGTATCCTGTTAAAGTCAGTTGGCTTCACACCCTGAATTACTAGTTGTTGCTCTTGGTCTTGGGCTAGTCCCATTTGAAAGTACGTGGCTAAAATACCCACGATCAAGAACATCTGCGTTGCTAAATAAGTTGCTGAAAATGATGCCATCTGATGATTGTGGCTGCAGGAGCTGTTAAAAACCACTACGAGAAAACCGGTACAGCTAGGTAATAATTTCTGTTGATAATACAGGCTACTGGTACTGGCTAATTGTTGCAGACTGAAAATGAAAGTGTGAGATTTATACTCGCATTCAGGATGGATTAGCAAGTGTACAAGTGCATATTTTTGTCCCCCGGGGAAGTCGATGTAAGGTCACTCAATCTGTGTGTTGGATGATTTATGGTAAGTTAAGGAAACCAAGGATACACGCATTAGATCAGATTTGTTGCAGCATGAGAAGTTAAGGAAACCAATCCCCAATTTGATATGGGATAAATTGTTTCCTTTGTGATTCGAGCACATGCACACACCTTTTGGCTATTGAGGTATATGAGTGCACGCACCTGCCAACATGGTTCAAAGTCGCGGTCGCGGTTGCGGGTTCGGTCTGGACCGTTTCACATCGATCTATGTATATCAGTCATGGTATCGGCGAAACGTGAATTTTTGAAATATTTAATATTCTAAAAATTGTAAAAAAAATATGATAAAAAATAATTTAAAAATTAGTAAAAATAATAAAAATTCGAATTGATTCGGGATGACTCGCAATGATTCGGTGTGACTCAGTCGCTTTAACCCTTAACGTTGACGTTTCAGCGAGTCAAGTATCTCGGAATCGTATCGTCATGGCATCGTATTAGAAGGGTCCGAGACGGTTACGACTCGGCCGAGACTTTGAACCATACTGCCAATGGAATGGAAGTGATACGAACCGCTTTAATGGCAAATTGAACATCGACTTTATCAAGAAATACCAACAGCGTTTACTTGCAAAATTTGATCTTATACAAATCATATAGTACAATGATTCAAGGTTTGCAAATGCATGTTCAGTTTTCACCATATTTTTTTTTGTCGAAACGTTAGCTTTATAGATCTAACCAATATTTACAGTAATTGGACAAAGGTCCAAATAAAAGGACAACAATCCTACAAAACATTGGTGCCTAACACCTAGCATTGGGATTAACCCATGCTTCATCTATGAAGATGTTTAGAGCATGCATGCTCAACTTGATACTTTCCACAAATCCAGAATTAACATTAGAGAAAGAGCATGTTTGAAAACTTTTACATATGTACTGGATATCTTCTATCAGAGTAGCCATCAAATAATTGCTGGTCCTTGTGTTTTTTATACACTCTACTAACTCTCTGCTTTCCAGCTCCACTTTAATGTTCCTCCAACCTTGGCTGATCGCATTTAGTAAAGCAAGTCTCACCGCACCAGCTTGATCTTGCATTGGTTCTGCAGACATTCTTTCCCTCATTGCCCAACATGCTTGAAGACGTCCTGACAAGTCAGAAGCTGTGATTCCAATCCCAACCATTTTTTGTCTAACGTCTTGGTGAGAGTGGACTTTGATCATCAGGCTGGTTTGGCTCTCTCTCTGACTTTGCAGTTGCTCAGTACATTGTTGTGCTTCTGTTCCCTGAATGTTTCCTCTTGTCAGTTTTCCTTTGTTCGCCTCCTCAAACTCCATCCATTCCTTCATGGCTTTCTGTATTATCTTGTGGGGTTCCCTTTCCTTTTGATTAAACTCTCTCTCGTTCCTGGATTTCCAGATCTGCCAGAGAATGTTTATAGTTAGATTCACTTGATCTACCTCTCCTCTTTCTTGTTGGGCTTCTATGATTGCAGACCACCATTTAATGAAACAGTCTGATGTATGTTGTACTCCATCCCATTGTACAGGTGATAACTTCCATATTTCCTTTGCTCTGCTGCATTGGAACAGGAGGTGTTCTATTGTTTCTTCCTTCTCACCACACCCCATGCACATAGGGCCTCCTTGTCTTGTCCTTCTGTATATTTCACCTCTCACGGGAAGCCCCCCATGCAAACACTTCCATATAAACACTTTCATTTTCTGGCTCACCTTCTGCTGCCACAGAGTTTTCCAGACTTTTCTGATAGTTCCTTCATAGCTTGGTCCAACACCTTCCCTCCTTCTTGCACTCTCCAGTTTCTTTGCCTTCATCCATGCCTTATACCCAGATTGAACTGTATAATGTCCATTCTGAGAGTGCATCCAGTAATGGCTATCTTCTTTCCCTGTTAGGCTTATAGGTATCTTCAGAATTCTCTCTGCATCTTGTTGGTTAAAGGTTCAGTTTTCACCATATACTTACCATAAAGAAAGAAATACTATTTATAGAAGAATAATCCTGAAGCAACGAGACACAAACAGCAGCAGAATCCAAAGTATGAAAGTGGCCTCCACCTCCTTGTATTGGGAAATAAATACAGAGCAGATTAGGAGGACCTGGAAATTTTTTATATAGGGGTCAACTCATGGTGAATTAATATTTACATAACAAAATGATTATGGGTCAAAATCATAGGCTGCGTTAGCAACAGAACATTTATCTGAGCTCCTAAACTAATGGGACAAAAAAAAAAAACATTACTGCCAGGTGATTGTACACTCACTCAATTAATGCAACCCCTTATGGTACAAACGCAATTCTGCTGCAAAATTTTCACCACCTAAATTGGAAAGACTTGGGAGGCAAATTTACATATTTAGCTGCTCTAGAGGCCAGACTTGCAATTGCAACGTTCAAAATTTCCGGAATTCCTTGAATCTGTCATAATTTTAGGCAACCGAGAAAGAAACTGCCAGAACCTAGTCCATTAGAATTAGTGGAGGAAAATCCTATCCTTTCTTTTTGTGGTGGAAACTTGTGTTTCTTCCAACCTCCCTTTACCTACTTTCTGAAACTATGTACTTCTTTTCGGGATAATTTCACAAACCTCCTCTAAGATTTTTAATAATTGCAGAGAGCTCCCCTGAAGTTTTATAAAAATTATATATACTTCACTTACTTTTACTATTTATATACCAATGTAGGTCCAACAAGCTAGATCTTCTCTCAAAAATCCTAAATTATCCTTTTCCACAAAACTAAGAAAGAAAAACATAGTATATTCAATCGTTTTCTTCCATGTTTTACACAAATCGACAAACTTAATCCCTAACAACCATTCAACCATAAGTTCTAAATCTAAATAGATATCTAAAAGATTTCAAATTGCATATACAACATCAATGCTTGCTATGCAAAAAAATAAAAATACAAATACAAAAAATGCACAAATACAGACGCATACCATTGACAACCAATTTTATACTCCAATATTAAATCTCAATACTCAAATATCTTTTTAATACAAGCTAATCTAGCCTAAAACCACCATTTCAAATGTCTTATGACCTGAAAAATATTAATATCTCAAAAGCAGAAAATAAATTCTACCTTCACAATAAAATCATAATAAAAAATTCTAATTCAATTGAAGAAATCCTTATGCAATTATTGACATTTTACAAAAAATTTTCTTGCCAACAAGCAAAATATGACAAATTTCACATCTTTGGTTTTTCTTCCTATTTCAATAATCAATTTCATTATTTATTTCTCTATTTCTGCGAGACTTTTCATTTCTCACTAGTTTGACACATAATCTGCTCCCTCTGTTAATTTTGCAATTTCAATTTGCTAATATCCATAAAATTGAAGATAACAAAAAAGGGTATAGTAGTATATTAACTAGAAAAGAAATGAGCAAAAATAGACAAGAAATAGAAAAACTTTTTTTTTTGGGTTTTGTAAATCTATTGTTTTAAATTGAGAATTGTCTACCAAGTGAAAGGTATTTTAGGTACTTTACTATGTTAGGGGAGATAAGCGTAATTTATTAAACCTAAAGGAAGCCGAGTGAAATTGTTTGAAACTTCAAGGGAGGTTTCTGAAATTATCCCTTCTTTTTTTTTTTTTTTTTTTTGTGTTGTTAACAGCTACACAGTAGGTGTATAACAACGGGCAAGATATGTCGTACACATGAAATTGCATCCTCAAGCAAAACGAGGTTTTTTTTTTTGGGGGGGTTAAGGGAAGTAGCGAAACGAGTTTAATTACTTTCTATCCGTTTATATACAGCAAAGAGGATGATGTAGGAGAAATGGATAGATGTATGAATGGTTTTTGCACCATATTTAATCAAACTTTATAATGATTAAAGCTCTTTAATCTTTCAAACAAAGTATCCACGCTCAAGAGCTTTCTGCTTTGCGATTAATCTATTTACTTTTTGCTGCGTTGGGATTTTAATGTTAGCCATTTATACAAGTGCCATGCCAAAAACAAAAGGTCAAAACAAATAAATAAGCTGATGGTATACTTTAATAGTGTACGCCTTGTTTGGATTGCATTTTTCTAGATTTTTTGTAAGATAAAAAGATGATTGAAAAATGTGTTCAACAAAAATATAGCAATTTTTCTTGCTGTCCAAAACAAGGAGAATCCTTCACCTTAAACATTTAGCTAGGTATAGATAAACGCAGAATTAATAAATAGATGAAGTTTTTTTTTTTTTTTTGTCAACAATGATACATTTGTATAACCTACTCTATCCTAATCTAGGGGGATGGGGAGCCTAAAGAAGCTGTGGTAGGGGGTTAGTTGGTATACAGACCCAACTAAACTAGACTAAAAGAGTGCTCTGGCACAACTCTTAGATTTTTTTCGCTGCATGTGAGATTTGAACCTTCACCTACCGTCCAAGGAGAAAGTCCCTTCCCGTGGACCAATGAGCCATTGGCCCAGTGGTTCAAACAGAGGAAGTTAAATGGAGAGAATCAATTGGCAACCCCATCTTACTAGCTCATATTTGTCCATATTTGTCCCTTGTCCATATTTGTACCAGCTCATAACCTTACCAGCTAGTCTTTTCTCGATAAGATAACAAGTTTGTGGGCATCATTCAAGATCAAGGCTAGCCATATGTTTATTTCACGACTTCTTTTACTTGCAGCTCCAAGATTTTGATTCGATGTGCTGTCAGAATTTGTTCAGGAGAAATAATTGAATATGAGATTAAACCAAAAAAAGGAACCAAGTTTATTTATATGGGAGGGAAAAAGGATTTTATAGTATATATGGGACCATTTTAGAATTTCACCTTTATATAGTATAAAGTTTGTTTGGATGGTAAGTTATTTGAAATATTTTTACTATAGTACTTTTTGTAATGTGATATATGTGAGATAAAAAGATAATTGAGAAGATAAAAAGGTGTATTAAAAATTATAATGACGATGTAAGTAAATATATTTGAAAAAATAATTCCAAACAAACTGGTTATTTTGAAAAATAATCACATACGAATACCAGAAGATCGGCCCCCTTCTTTTTGTCGTAACCAACATTCAGTAAACATCTAATCAACTATATTCCTATGGGCCCTCTTCCAATTTGCTCCCCAATTTTCCAAATTACAACACTTAACTCCATCTAATTTTCAATTTGGTTGAAATGATTTCATCTCACGAGTTGTACGGTAGTTAATTCACTGAAACTATTTTATACTATCAAAATTACCCTTAACATTGAGCTCTCTTGAATTAATATTAGCGTCAGATCTTTTTTCAACAAAAAATATAAATAATAAATAGACTAAATCTTATTATATACACTGACAATACATACACTATCATCATTAGATATATGACATATATGTAAAAATTAAATTTCAAATTTAAAATTTATATAGTTATTATCATCCAACGCTAACAATGTATACACTGTCAATATAGAAAAAATTAATCCTAATAAATACATAATAAAATACTTATTTAAATTACAAAAAACAACAGCCGTGAACGCAACAAATCATGAAATATAACGTTTATATTTTTTTCCATAGATGTTCTTTGAAGAAAGAGAAACAAGATGGTACACTTTGTGAATTTGGCTCCAAGAACAACCGTGATTGCAAAGGCTAATTTCAATCAATTAATGAATCAGAGCATTTTGGTACTATCAAATTATGAGGGGTTAGATATTGCAATTGAAAGGAAAGAATAAGGGGTTAAAGTGGGATGGGTAGATAGTTGAAGGTCTTTTAAATACGTCCTTCCAAAAGTGCAGCTCTTCATTTTTGAGCGATCAGATAATTTGGAAAGCGGCTTTAGTGATCACACTCCACCACCGGCCACCGCTCCAAAAATGCTCTCCGGCGAGGCAGGAAATGCAGATTCTTCAGCCGAATCGTCGCAAGAAGAAAAAGCAAAATCTTCAGCCGAATCATCCCAGAAAGCAAGATCAAGAGGGCGCTTCATTAGGCACCTAAGCAGAGCCAGACGAATCTCTCTATCTTCTCAACCGCCGGTTCCGCTTCCCCTCGAACCAGCGAGCAAACTCTCACCATCAATACCAGAAACCCAGCACTCTCAGGCAGCAGCGATCTTTATAGCCAACAATATAGATATCTTGCAACAAATTTTGCTTTATTTGCCCCCAAAATCCCTCCTTCGCTTCCAATGCGTCTCCAAGAAATGGCTTTCCATCATCTCGGACCCTGCCTTCCGCCGTCTGCACTCGCGGTTTTATCCCACCACCGTCGGGACTTCCTCTTCTGCCTCCGCTGCCACCGAAGCACTCTTTGTGTTCCCGTGGACATACAAGAAGACCCCACAAGAGCTCAATTTCATCTCCCTCTCGGATGGGTATGTAAATCCAATGGCTAAAATGGTTTCCCACTTGAACAATTTCTTTGATAATGGTGCAATTGTGGATTTTCATTCATGCAATGGGTTATTAGCTCTGGTGTTCAAGTTAGATGATTGTGACGATCATAGAGAATTTGTGGTCTATAATCCTACTACTTGTCAGCATAGACTTATTCCTACGTTCAATGGTTCTAAGCCCAATGATCCTCAGCTCAATGATCCTCATTTCAATGATCCTTATTATGATCCTTACTTCGATGATCCTCATTTCTATCATTTTCAAATAACCCGTCGTTTTGAGGCTTTGAATATTGTGTTTGATCCTTCAAAATCTGATCATTTCAAAGTTGTGTATATATGGCGGGATGAATACCATGGCGACACTTGGGATAGATGTGGATTTGCTGTCTATGCATCTGAAACTGGGATTTGGAGGGAAAGTATGGACACGTTGGAGATGGATCCTCCTGATTTACCTACTACTTATTTCGGGAATGGGGTTTTGTGGAATGGTGATCTCCATTGGCTCAACGATTTTAAGTATATGATATGTTTTGACTTGGATAAAGAATGCCTTCACCGAGACATGCCGCCACTTCCTGTCGAGTTCAGTGAGTGGGAATTTTGGTACTTTGGGGAGTGTAATGGGTGTTTATATGTTATTGAGGTCAACAACCCATTTGGGTTGTTGTTTGATGTTTTTGAGATGGAAAGGGACTATTCTAAATGGGTTCTGAAATACCATATCGATCTTGCTCCTCTAAGAATTCTATATCCATCAATGGTAGTTGAGTTCGTTGATCGTGCTGATAGGAGGCAATGTACATTTGGACCATTTGGTATGCTTTTTCTCCTCGAGGATGAGAAAGAGAAGAAAGCCAGCCTTGTGACAGCTTTTCCAGATAAGGTGATGCTTTACAAAATTAATGATGCTGTTGTTACAGAGGTTGCTGAAGTAGGGCCAGTGGACTTTGGGTATGGTTGGAAGAGTCACCTTAATCAATGGAAGGACATCTATAGACATATGGAGACCCTCGCTTATGTTTAATTTGGTCGTAAAATGTTACTATCTTCTCCAATGTACTTTGCTTTTGCCTACCAATTAGATATCCCAAAGTTACAGAAACTTTTGTGGATCTTAATTATGATAATTCTGTTTGTACATATGGTAATGAAGTTATGGTTTCAGAATGCTTTAGAAATCAATCTTAAGATTATATCTTGATACTTTCATATCCTCATATCACCATTTATTCCAACTGTTCTTGAATAGTTTATGCAAATAATAGGACTAGCTGGTTGTGAGTTCTAAAAGAGTTTGCTTTCAGGACACTTACCTTGCTGTTTGCTAAATGGTTGTGATTTTCTTGAATGCGTGATTTAGCTATAGATTGCTTAGATATGTAAAGATTCTGTTTTGTGCATTGCTAGCTTTTTGGCCTGCTGTGCCACTGCCCCATTTGTTTTAGGCTACCTGAGTTTTGTAATTGATTGCTATCATCTGAATCTTGGATTTTGAGGGACAATACGGACACATAACCAATGGGAGATGTTTGTTTTCCTCCTTATTTTGGGAATGGGGTGTTGTGAAATGGTGATCTGCATTGGCTTAGTGATCAGACGTATAATTTGTGCGTTTGGTTGGATAGCAATGGTTTCATCAGCAGATGCCATCTCTTCTTTCCAAGCTTTCCTACTTATGTTAAATTAGATTTTAAAGTATTATTGGGTTTTCCTAGTAACTTGATGTACCTGTTTTTGCCCACCTCTTAAAATATTTCAAGCTCTGGAAATTGCTGTAGATCTTAACTCTGACGTGATTCTGTGTGATACAATGATGGTATTGAAGTTGGGTGATTCTGTGTGATGCAATATTTGGCTTTCTAAGTAACTTGATGTTGCCTGTTTTTGCCCGCCTATTAAAATATTTCAAGCTCTGGAAATTGTTGTGGATCTTAACTCTGATGTGATGCAATTATGGTATTGAAGTTATGTTAAGGATCTCACAACAAATTGTGGAAAGCAGGTCAGAATCACATCTGAGGTAAAATATAACCAACTTGCTAACTGTAGCTTTTGGTGCTGCCCCTTTTGCTTCAGGCAGCATTTGCTTCTGGCTTGATTGCCATCCAGTTTTCGCCTCAGATTTTGGAGCTGCTTTGGACCAATATGTGGGGAAACTTTTGGTTTGGTGCCAAATGATTTACTACTAAACGATACACCTATAATGTATAGGATATTGGTGGAAGTTAAACTTCTTTGTAGATTTATGAGCCAACTGCCCCAGCCACAAATAGTTTCACTGATAGAAGAGGCTGTGGAGAGGGTCTCACTCTGAAAATCGAACGATACCAAACACTTGCCGTGATTTCTCCAGTAATAATTTTTTTGTAAAATTGTAGTGTCAGTATTGGCTAGGAGTACCATTGGTTTTCTGGTATTTTCTTTGTCAATCAGGAGGCTTGTTGGCTCTTAAAACCAGATCATTCTCATTTAGGTCTTGTTTGGCAGGTGAATTTTTTGGGTGTTTTTCTAAAATTTTACTGTAGCTTACTGTAGAAATTTTTTTTAAAAATTTTGAAGTGTATAAATTTTTGAATGTTTTTAAGTGTATAGTTTAAAAAATTTGAAAAGTTTTTTAAAGTTACTGTAGCTAAAATTTTTACAAATTTTGTAGCTAAAGTTTTTAAAAAACTTGTAGTAGACAAACTTGACAAAAAATTCAAGTGTCAAACAGGGCCTTAGTTTATGAATGGCAATATTGCTGTAGCAGGGGCTTGACTCCATGGGAGTGAGAATTTGTCTATAAAAGAAGAAAATTGAAGAAGAGATTGGCGTGAGGCCCAAGCATTTAGAAGCTCGGGTTCACATCCTTCTTTTACCTCCTCGCTTCTTAAGTCTCATTTTCTTCTCGCTTTTCAAGTCTCACGTCTTCCTTTTTAAGAAGCCTCATTTTCTTCTCGCTTTTCAAGTCTCACGTCTTCCTTTTTAACAGGAAAAATTAAAGGAAAAAAAAAAGAGAAGAAGAACAAGATTTCCATTACCACAGAGAAAAAAGTAGCAGCATTTAGGTGTATTAAGTAGCAGGGAAACTTTTTTTATTTTGGTGTATTAAGTCATAAAACGTAATCACATGATATGCTGCTGCCTATTACTTTCCTTATTTTTTGGCACGTCCTCTCTAGTCTTAAGGTGACAATTCTGATAAGCAATTAAGCATGACTAACTAGAGCTGAAAAGCAAGCAATGTGAAAAGGAAAAAGAAGACGACTGACTATAAAGGGAAGACTTGGGCAGGCCACTCTATAAGTGACAAGACAATGTGAAAAAGAATAAGAAGATGACAATAACGGAAGACTTAGAATTTACAAACAATTTCCAGTCTTTTGAACTTATTTAACTTATCTTAAGCGAAAGTTTAAAAGATTCGTGGAGAAAGAAGAATGCAAAAAATTTAGAACAACTTTTAAGAACCCCTTCATTCTTCTCTTAACGTATGATTTGTGTAGCATGAACTTCCCAAACATATTTTTAGCACGAAAGAAATGTATGGATAGTGCCAGGAGGGAATTTTGTAGTTCAAAATCGGTAAATTACAGATTCAGCAAAATTTTTTTGAGGGGCATAAAGTGTTGCTGCATTAATTTATGGATATATAGCCCAAAAACAAGCCCCGTTTGGATTGCATTTTTCTGAATTTTTTGTAGCAAAATTGCTGTAACGATTTGATATATGTGAGATAAAAAGGTAATAGAAAAATATGTTCACGAAAAACGTAATAATTTTTCTGAGGAAAATCGCAATCCAAACGGAAATATTCTGAGATATACAAAGAAACTGCTAACAAGATGACAGACACACACTCACACACAATAAACAATTTTACGCATTATGGTTTTTGTTTTCTTAATATTTACCTCCTTGGATTCTTCTTCACATTAATCTTAGTTGCATTTTTTTCTCTCACCATTAATTTCCTCTTAAAAAAAAAAGTTATAGTTACGTTGAATTGGGTTCCGAATCCTCTGCAATTGTCCATGCAACCGCAGAGGACGGTTTGAGAGATCGGATGATCGAGATCAGCCTATCCGAACTTGGGTTGATCTCGATCATTGACCTGAAATTTATTAAAATTTTCAATTAATTGTTGCGACCAACCAAAGTTCGAATGGATCGATTGCGAGTCTCAACCGTCTTCTGCGGTTGCAGAGGATCCGGATCCTTTGGATTGTGGGATGAAACTGCACTGCAAGCTTCTGAAGTCAGGTTTCATATATATGATCGATTTTCCATGCCTGCGATGTTTACCTACCTTTGTACGATCGAACTCGTTCCTTTGCCTTTGGGTTCGCTTAATTCTTAAGCATTTCCAGAGAAGTCAATTGACTCCAATGCCGTGTTTCCACCACAAGGAAACATAGTACACTGTAGTTTCAACTGAAAAGCTGAACAACTAACAAGACAAAAAAGAAAGCAACTTCCATGTTCATGCAACTAACAAACATGCAAATGCCACTGGGACTTTGGTCCAGTGGTCATCCCAAGCCTTCTTGGGCTTGGTGGTGCGGGAGATTAAGGGTCAGAATCTTGCCTCTCATAACAAAATTTGTCAGAATATATGACGGTCTTCATTGATCAGTTTCGATGGAGTTTCTATTCACATCAAGTTAAAAAAAAAAAAAAAAAACTAACAAACATGCAAGCAACTTAGTTTTAATTGAAATGACAATTCATGTCACCCAAATCCAAGCAAACAATGAAAAATTTTCTTATATTTCATCTATAATGAACTAACTAATTTTGATATCACAATTAGAGTTATTTCTTCTAAAACAAAAAGGGAAAAAAAATCTATGGATTAATTTAAGTGTACATATTAGCACGGAAAAGGAATGGTTGTTGTTTGTGCTTTATGTTGCATTGTTTTCAAACGAAATTATAAAAACAATAGAAGATAAATAAAAAAGAGAATACTCAACCACCTCAGTCAATGAAATCTCAATCAATGACAATGAATATTCACATAGAAATAATTAAATATGATAGATTAAAAATACCCTTGTGAATTAAATAATCACAAAGAGTTCACATACAAATTGTATATACGTAAACAAATCAAAAAATGGAGCAAAAAAATTAAAAAAAAAATGAAACAACTCACTTCACACTACTAAAGAACTTCATCAAAAAGCTAACTAATTCAACTCATATAATATGATAAATAATAATCGTCTACTCTATAAAGAATTAGGTCTCGTTTGGATTGCATTTTCCGTCATTTTTCATGGAAAAATTACTGTAGTGATTTGATGTATGTGAGGGAAAAAGGTAATAGGAAAATGTGATCACGGAAAACGACGCAATTTTTTGGCAGAAAATAGCAATCCAAACGGGGCCTTAGGTTTTATACGAAATGATAATTATAGAAAACCTAAGTCTAAAGAAATAAGAAATACCATTCATGTATTATATTCTTATATAATTAACTAATTGTAATTCTACAATTAAATAATCAGTAATCATAAGTATTGATATTGCAAATACTATTCAGGAAGTGTTTAATAATTTAACCAAATTTTAGTTTCTTGGTTGTTAAAATCTGATAATTTTACTAGAAAGTCCATCATAGATTTTACTTTCAATAAAATAAAATAAAAAAGACATATCTAGACAGATTACTGAGCTTGCAAAGGCATCGGATGAAGGAAAGAAGATGCATAGTACAATAATCGGAATGTTAAAAATCTAACAAGTCAATTCATGTTGTATTCTAATGCCCCTTTTAAAATTTTAATAGCACTCAAATTAGATTTGCTTCTCCCATGCTTGATATGTGCATATATATATATATATATATATATATATATATATATATATTTCCTTCTTAATAATATTATTTTGAACTATATAAAAATGTGCAATTTTATAATTTAAGGGTAATCACAACAACCTTGATAAACATGATAGTGTCAACAATTGTTATCAAAGTTCAATCCAAATTTAATCAATAAAAGCTCAAAAACAAGTTCTAATAGCTTGAGGTCAAAGAGTTCAAATTTAAATAAATGTTTGTAGCCAAAATTAGTTAAAGAAATTGAAAAATATACATAAGTTTATTATGAAGTAGATAATCAAAACTTCACAACAAATTTTAGTAGCTACAAAATACTAGTATATTTTGATTACTATATTCACATGCAAAGCATGTGTAGTATTTACTAGTATGTGTATATATATATATATATATATATATATATATATATATATATATATATATATATATATATATATATAAATTCATATCCACATGTTTCACTTTATGTTGTGACATTATTAAAGATGTCTATATGTATACCATAGGAAGCTCCTATACCAAATTAGGTGAACAGACTTAAATTAAAAAAAATAAAAGTAAAAACTAGTCGTAAATAATATTATTCCAAATAATATTTCGCTTGCATCACAAACACATTTCTCAACCCACCTTTTTATATTCCCAATCATTTTTTTATCTCACATACATCACATCACAAAAAATGTTACAGTAATTATTCCAAATAATATTTCAAATAATACTCTATCCAAACAAAACTCTTGTTGATTCATCATAAAATACAAGAAATCTTTTTGGTGTATTATGTCATAAAACGTAATCACATGATATGAAGCTGCCTATTACTTTCCTTATTTTTTGACACTTCCTCTCTAGTCTTAAGGTAACAATTCTCACAAGCAATTAAGCATGACTAACAAGAGCTGAAAAGCAAACAATGTGGAAAAGAAAAAGAAGACGACTGACTATAAAGGGTAGACTTGGGAAGACGACTTTATAAGTGACAAGACAATATGTGAAAAAGAATAAGAAGATGACAATAAGGGAAGACTTGGAACTTAGAGCTGGATCGATTCAACAAGAAATTTCCAGCCTTTTTAACTTATTTAACTTATCTTAAGTGAAAGTTTAAAAGATTCATGAAGAAAGAAGAATGTAAAGAATTAAGAACATCTTTTAAGAGCCCCTTCATTCTTCTCCTAACGTATGCTTTATGTAGCATCAACTTCCCAAACATATTTTTAGCATGAAAGAAATGTATGGATAATGCCAAAAGGGAATTTTGTAGTTCAAAAAGGGTAAATTACAGATTCTGTAAAAATTTTTTTTGAGGGCCATAAAGTGTTGCTGCATTAATTTATGGATATATATCCCAAAAAACAAGGGTTACAGACACATAAAAGTATGATTCTGAGATATACAAAGAAACTACTAACAAAATGACATGTATATAAATTAATTCATATCCACATGTGGCACTTTAAAGATGTCTATACGTATACCATAAGAAGCCCCTAATACCAAATTAGGTGAACACACTTAAGGCCATTTGGGATTGCGGTAACTTATTGAAAATTACTTTCCTAACAGAACTTTTAATAAAAATATTTATTAACTTAGTGCTTTTAAATATATTGTTTGAAATAAATACTTATTGTATTGGATAATATGTAATTTAAAATTTTTTAAAAATGTTTATCTCTTTATTTAGTTCATAATATAGGGTAAAATGATTAAATTTGATGTTTTATTTTTTAAATCACAAAAGATACTTTGAAAGTACCAAATTTGATCTTTTGTTAAAAGTACTTTTAACATAAAAAGTTCTACTCTTATTTTTATGGGATGACTAGGGGAGGAGTGCCCGCGCATCGTGCGGGTGTTTGGTACCCGTAATTAAAGAGGATATTTTATTAGACAAATAATAGTATATTTTGAAAAGAAATAATCATCAAATATGACAAAACTAATAATAGTACATTTTAATTGCAGCACATACTTGTACACTTTACTTTATCAATTTATTAATGTTTTTGCAATTTTATCATTCCCAAAATGCCCCTACAGATGTTAGTTGAAAATCGTCCAAGAGGAGACATAAGTTGTTTCAGACAAAGGAATATCTTTCAATGGCTAGTTATAGCAACGTGTTAGTTACACAATGTATTAATATGTCTTTGTGTTAATTACACAATAAAAGTCACACTTCAATTAAATGTGTCTATAACACTATTCAGTAATTGCACTAACAAATAAGTTTATATGAGTTGTACTTGATGCAAAAACAGTTGCAAAATAATTCCATATTCCAAAAATACCTAGATATCTCTATAAATCAAAGTTTTAAATGTATTAAAATGAGGACATTTCAGTAAATATACCTAAACACGTGCTACCATTAGTTGTACCAAAAATTTTAAAAAAAACTACACAATATTTCATATTCTAAAAAATCTCCTATCTATGGGGTTGAAATTCAAACCTCCCTTTGACCATAACTCATTCATATATAATATAAGGATACTCACCAAATATTTTAAAAGTACTTTTAGCACTTAAAAGTATTTTTTTTAAACTAAAAGTATCGCAACCTCAAACAGGACCTAAATAAAAAAATATATAAAAACTAGTCATAAATCTTGTTGATTCATCATAAAATACAAGAAATAACAATCTTATAGAAAACAATTCAATTTTATGCATTATGGTTTTTTTCCTTAATACTTACATCCTTGGATTCTTCACATCAATCTTTGTCGCATTTGAAAGATTTTCCCTTCATTTTTTCTCTCTCCATTAATTTCCTCTTAAAAGGTTTTATACATTATCGAATTGGGTTCCGAATCCTCTGCAATTATCGATGCAACCGCAGAGGACGGTTAGCAGATCGGCTGATCGAGATCAACCTATCCGAACGTGGGTTGATCTCGATCATTGATCTAAAATTTATTTGAATTTTAAATTATTGGTCACAATCAACCAAAGTTCAAATGGATTGATCTCGGCTCACAACCGTCTTCTGCGGTTGTAGATGCAACCGTAGAGGATCTGCATCCCCTAGATCGTGGGACGAACGTGCAGGGCAAGCTTCCGAAGTCATATTTCATTTTTCCATGCCAGCCATGTTTACCCACCTTTGTACGATCCAACTCGTTCCTTCGCCGGTTCTCTTATAGCTTGTTTGGGAGTTTAGAATAAAAAAAAAAAGAAGAGAAATGATAAGTTAGAAAAGAAAAGAAAGGATTAAAGTTTCTATAAGTTGTTTGGGAGTTTTAAAAAAGAAAAAAAAAAGTAAGTAGTTTTCTTTTGTTTGAGAGTTGAATACAAAGGAAAGGAAAAGATACTTAAACAAATTATTTTATAAATATGCCCTTTCTATAAACAAATGTGAGAGGGATTCATCCAGTATTAAAATGTTTTATATCAGAATTTTAAAGGTAATTTGGTCATATTGAAAAATTTACTTAAACTTCTGTCCATTCCTTTCCTTTCCACCCAATATTGGGCGAAAAGTTTTCCGTTGGACGGAAAGTTTTCCAAAAGATGGAGAACAGTGAAATCTTTCCTAATCTTTTCTTTTCCTTCTCATTTTAACTCCCAAACAACTTTCTCATTTTAACTCGCAAACAATAGAAAAACTTTTTTATTCCTTCAAAACCTTTCTTTTCTTCTCATTTGTCAAACTAGCTATTAATTCTTAAGTCATTTCCAAAGAAGTCAATTGACTCCAATGCTGTGTTTCCACCACAAGGAAACACCAGTAAACTAATTATTGGATCCCTATAAATTCAGCCACAAGTCCACATTTGCTATCACCTGACCTGAAATTCACTAGCTCCTTTCATCTCTTTCCTTCCCTCTAAACTTTCCGACCTTTTTCACCTGCAACATTACAGTCGAAATTCTGAAAACCAACAACCACAAGAAACATGGGTGCACTAATCAATGGCTCCGATTTTGCTTCTGAAGAAATCACCAAATCCCTCGTTGAAGTTGCTCATGATCAACAAGAACCACTAGCAATCCAGGCCCCCATTGTATCATCCTACAATGAACGCATTAGGCCCTTGCTTGACTGCGTAGACAGGCTGCGAAGCCTCAAAGTCATGCAAGAAGGAATCCAGCTTCCAACAATTGTTGTTGTTGGAGATCAATCTTCAGGAAAGTCTAGTGTTCTAGAGTCGCTAGCAGGCATTAGCCTGCCCAGAGGACAAGGGATTTGCACGAGGGTTCCCTTGGTTATGAGGCTGCAAAGTCATCCCAGTCCCCAGCCGGAGCTGAGCTTAGAGTTCAATGGTAGAGTTGTTTCAACCGATGAGGAACATATTGCTGAGGCCATCAGCGATGCAACTGACGAGATCGCCGGCAGAAGTAAGGGGATATCAAATGTTCCCCTGACTTTGACTGTTAAAAAGGATGGTGTCCCTGATCTTACTATGGTGGATTTGCCTGGGATTACTAGAGTTCCAGTTCACGGGCAGCCTGAAGACATCTACGAGCAAATTTCAGCAATCATTATGGAGTATATCAAACCAGAAGAAAGCATAATACTTAACGTTTTATCTGCTAGTGTTGATTTTTCGACTTGCGAATCCATTCGGATGTCCCAAAAGGTGGACAAAACCGGTGAAAGAACTCTAGCAGTTGTCACCAAGGCAGACAAGGCCCCTGAAGGCTTGATGGAGAAGGTAACAGCCGATGATGTGAACATTGGCCTTGGATACGTCTGCGTGAGAAATCGTATTGGCGACGAGTCATACGAGGAAGCTCGAGCTGAAGAAGCTATGCTTTTCCAAACACATCCGCTGCTGTCCAAGATTAACAAGTCAATAGTTGGCATCCCTGTTTTAGCCCAGAAATTGGTGCAAATTCAGGCAACTATAATTTCAAAATGCTTGCCAGATATCGTGAGGAAGATCAATGACAAGCTAGCTGCAAGTGTAGCAGAGCTGAACAAGTTGCCACAAAAGCTGAACTCAGTTCCTGAAGCGGTGACCGCTTTTATGCGTATCATATCTTCAGCCAAAGAGTCGCTGAGGAAAATACTTATCAGAGGGGAATTCGACGAGTATCCAGATGAAAAGGAAATGCATTGTACTGCAAGATTGGCAACGATGCTGAGCAAGTACTCTGACGAATTGCAGTCCATCTCTATCAAAAGCGAACAGAAGCAGAACTTCTTGGAGGAAGAGATTAGCATCCTGGAGGAAGCTAATGGTATAAGCTTACCTAATTTCCTTCCTCGCGCTGCTTTTCTGGCTTTACTGCAAAAAAGGGTCAAGGCCATTTCTGCTGCACCGGCTGAATTTGTGGATAAGTTCTGGGAGTATTTACAAGGGGTGCTGGCCCCTGTCTTGACGAAGCACTCTGACAACTACCCATCAATCCAATCTTCAATCAGGAGAGCTACCCAAAATCTTGTTTGCAAGAAAAGGGAGCAGTCAGTCGATTGGGTACTGCAGATTATAGACATGGAGAAACTCACCGATTATACCTGTGATCCTGAATACTCCGCAACCTGGCATAAACTGATGGCAAGACAGGACACATTCATGGAACTCATTAATGATGATTGGAAGCCAACAAACATGGAGATCGATGGCTTTGGTGCGGTTGAAATCGGGCATCTAAGAAATCATGTGCTGGTTGCACGACAAGCTTTTGATCTGAAAATGAGGATGACTGCTTATTGGAAGATTGTTCTGAGGAGGTTGGTTGATTGCATGGCTCTGCATTTACTCTTCAGCATCCAAAATCTGGTGAACAAAGACATGGAAGCTGAAATGGTGAACGACTTGATGGGACCTTACGGGGGTGGAGTGGAGCGGATGTTGGAGGAATCTCCATCTGTTGCTGATAAACGTTGCAGATTGAACAGAAGCATCAAGCTGCTGAGGGAGTCTAAAGAGACTGTTGCAGTGATAATGGACGGTATCGCTGCTTATGGCGATTAGATTGATCATAAATCATATTAATAAGCATTTTGTTGCTTTGTTGCCTTTTTTCTTTTAATTGTGGTTTCTTGGATTCCCAAGAACTTGAATGGAGTTGTTAGTACTGGCACAATAGAAGCTACTGTATTATGGCATATGCAGAATTAATGTAATTTTCAGTTGGGCAATTTAATACATATTAGTTGATATGGTTAATATAATATGAAGTCGTCTAATTTGTACTGCTGCTTTTAAGGATTACTAGTTTCTGGGGGAAGCCCAAATAGAGCTTGAAATTGTGCAATTACACTCTCTAAATCTGGACTGTATTGGGGACTTGTCATTTGCCTTCACTTATATGTAGTACAAGAGATGCACATAATTCGAGTGACAAGAAGCAGCACACAAGCAGAAAAATCAACAATATTTGACACACTGAAAACTACAAGCAAAACCAAAAGGGCTATTACCATCCAAAAAAGGCTTCAATCCAAGGAAACTTTTATATATTATTGTTACTCGAAATATGAATGATTTGGCGAGCTCACCAAGAAGACCAGTTCCAACTTTGTATTTCTTGGTAGGACAAAAAATCTGCTTTAAACCAACATCCGTATCTGACTTTTGACCATCAAAGGGGGCAATGGCAAACCAAAATCAAAGCCTAGGAACGATTGGAAACCACCTGGAAGAATTGGACGCGGCTCTGGCTGGAGCATGTGAGAGGACTGCTCCTGAACAGTTCATCTGATGACCGTTTGTGCCCCGGATCCTCATTTTTCGTTCAGATGGCATGATAGCAGCTGCAAATTTCTCGGCTTGCTCGTCAAACGAGCTTTAAATCTGACAGAGAAACAAAAAGCAAGTCAACAAAATCTGCGACCGGTACGACGCTTCAGCAAATCTAAAGAGAAGGCTGTGCAAGCAAGATCATGGACTTGGAGCATCCAAAAGGCTAGCAACATATATATATATACTAGCTTGGATCTGGCCGTGCTACGCACTGGCCTATCCACTGATAATTTTCGCTGTTTATTTAATCCTTCATTTTTGTCCTATGCAAAATCCAGATAATTTTGAGGGGGTTGATAATATATCTGTGGATTTGATATGCTAATTGTGTTTAAAAGACAGAGAGATAAATAATATTTAGAACAGTGGTAAAGATTATATAAACAAAATCATTCACTTTTGACAGCACATGTGCTTTAAGACTGGATCTTCGTACATATAAGCACTTGCAATTAAGGTTCATGATCTATGCAGGTGCAAGATAACAAACTGAACTATTAATAGCAGCACATGTGCTTTAAGACTGGATCTTCATACATATAAGCACTTGCAATTAAGTTTCATGATCTATGCAGGTGCAAGATAACAAACTGAACTATTAATAGCTATCTCATGATCCCTTATTTGTCAAGGACTGAAGCAGTTTCAAAGAAAGTATCGAAGCAATGGACCTAATCATTTAGCTAGCTAACAAAAGATTTAATAAAAGTAACATAATTAAAGCAGTTTAGGCCTACTTGCCCTTAAGCTTCTTTGATGGACTTATCTTCAATATTCTCAGGCGGATTGCTATCTTCTGGACCTTCTTTGGTACACTGCTCAGAAATATTGGATGGCTCTTTGGATAGTGTTTCTACTGGTGTAGCTTCATTTTCAGGTAGCCCTTTTGGAAAATCAAGGCTCCTATTTAATCCTCTGCTCCAATATGCATCATTTTTCGTGGAAAAATTGCCTCCAGCAATTTCTTCAAACACCAACTTAGTGGTTGGTGTGAATTTTTCTTCCTTTGTTTGTTGTTGTTGTTTTTTTTTTTTTTTGATATCTTGCTGAGGAAGTGCCCACTGCAGAAGAAACTTCGGTGCGAGCTAGAAATGTTACAGTAACAGATCATCTGTAGTGTAAGCTTTGGACACAATAGTTTTAATTTGTCGCTGGTCTTAAAAGTGAGTTTCATAAGCCTTGAGAAAGTAGACAATTATATATTTCTTCAAGGAACCATTAAGTTCAGTGTCTACTTCAAAGTGCTGTAGCAAAAATTATTTTTTGAGTTGTAGTCAGCTGTTGTTATCTTTTTTGTTATGCATGGATATAAAATAGAAAGTTATCACTTACACTTTCTTGTGCCAGTTTATGCTGAAATGAAGTGAATAGAATCATTTTTTCTGCACCTTCTCTAGATATAGTGCAATTGATTGTTCCCGAATCATCAGTTAAAATGATGAGAATTCGAGCCCTCAAATTCAACAATAGAAATTAACATCAATTTAAATGCAGAAAGAGGATTAAATTGTAATTAAAGAGCATGAATTGGTAACTTTACCTCATATCAACTTCACTTTGTTGCTTGCAAGAAGGACAACAGATATTCCAATCAATGTTTGCATTCACTATTCTATTTAGAGTATCCAAAGGCAAGTTTCCCAGTTGCTTGAAGCCAAGCTGTTTTTTTCTGAATCAAGTAGATATGAAAGATATCTGAAGCAAAAATCACAGTTAACAGTAAAAATGGCAAGATCATAATCGTACCTAAGTTTTTCATCCTTTACTCAATATGACGAAAGAAAGAACCAACATCTAAAGGGTTTCTCCTTTCCTTCTCCCTTTTGTATACATGGTAGGTTTTAGAAACCGTACCATAGATCACTAAAAATTGTTTTCTAAAAGAAAACATTACTTCGTAACAGGAAAAAAGGAAGAATTCGCTGGTAAATTCAAACCAAGTACAATCCCTAAAAGAAGCTGATTCTTGGGGCAAATGCAATCACGTGCATGTGGAGGGTTTTTGTGGTTCTAACCAAGAGAAAGTACAATGCTTTGTTCAGAAAATTGGTAGAACAGTGGCATCTTTTGCAGGTTCATATTCAGCTATTCGAGCGGAAGAAACGGAGAAGAAGAGACTTTTAGTGAGAGGCCTAAAACTGACCCATATGTTTAGATCAATCGACAAACAGTATCAAACTATTTGCATCGAAACAGAAAAATAAGAAGGAAATATTTTCAAACATACAAAAATAGCCCTAAATAGTTAGTAACTATTCAAACAACCACCTTTCACAAAAGGACGCAATTGACTTTTAACACTTATTAAAACATAAACAAAGTTAAAAAATAAATATATTTAATCCATTATTACCAATTGACCCTTAAATAGTAAGCTACTATTGGAATTCTCAATTGTAAGACCAAGTCCCAAATAGACATTTACCATTCTTTAAGATCCAAATGAATAAAACAAAGTTTCTTCCTCCAATAAGAGCTTGACACTTGGCATTCAATGGACAACTCAAGTTGTTCTCTTATCTAGTAGGTAGATATATATATACACACACGCACACACTAGGTTGGTCTTCCTGTGCCTTGGTGCCTGTGAATTGTGTTTTGTTGCATGTATTAGAAAAAAATTTGAGGATCAATTGAATAGTAAAATAAAATATTTGAAACAAGGGATAATTGCAGAAACCTCCCCTGAGATTTCTAACACTTGCACTGATCTTCCCTGTAGTTTGAAAAATTGCACTGACCTCCCCTAAACTTACTAATCCTTTGCGAATTCAGTCCAAACGATTAAAATATTATTTTAGGGAGTGAAATTAGAATTTTGTACCAGATTTACCCTTTGTGCTTACATGTGCTTATATAAAGTACTTTTACTTACAAACATTGATATATTTATCATAAATTAAATGTTTGAAAGTAAAATATCCATAAAGAGTCGGTACTTTTAATGGGTAATGCGTATTTGTCCATAAACTACACCCCTTAAAGTTTATTAATTGTTAATTGATTTGTAGTACTTTGTCATTCATTGGACATGTAGCACAAAGGGCAAATCTGGTACAAAATTCTAATTTCACTCCCTAAAACAATATTTAATCATTTGGACTGAATTTGCAAAGGATTAGTAAGTTCAGGGGAGGTCAGTGCAATTTTTTAAACCATAGGGGAGGTCAGTGCAAGTATCAGAAACCTCAGGGGAGGTTTCTGCAACTATCCCTTGAAAGAATTGAGGAGCAAAATTGAATAGCTTAAAGGCTTACAAAATTTTAAACATCTCTTTATTTCATTTTAGTTCTTTGAATTTTTAATAGTATTATTAAATTTGTCTTTTAATGTTGCATAAAGTGTTTCTGGATTTTAATATTGATAAAGTTTTTCCACATGGAAGTTCCGAAAATAATGGTTTGAAGTTGCTAAGACAATAAGTGTTTGAGAGTGAACTAAGCAAAAGTTGAAAAGTTGGAATGTTTACTACAACTTCCATGATATAGAGGCAAATCCTCATGCGATTGTCTTAACAATTGAGGTAGCTTACCTGTTGAAAATGGCAGTCATGAACCTGAGGTAGCTTATCTGATTCGTCAGTAATAAATTTGAGAGCCTCTGTTCCCTTAGTTACTTGAGCTGTAATGTAATTATAAATTGAAAGGTCAAGGTAAGTAATGGTATATTTAGTTAAATTAGAAGCCATGCATAAAGTAAAAGCAGTGAAATTGAAAGCCTAATCATATGTTAAGAACCTTTTTTCCTCATAACCTTTTTATTTTGAGATCTTGTAGAGCGTTACCGGGCGGTACATTTAGTTGTAACAAAAATCATATTAGTTAAAAGAAAGTTATTCGTACAGAACTACATTTAGCTGTAAGATCAATGAGATTTGTTAAAAGGAACTCAGAATAGGTGTATAATAAACCTTTAACGGAAATATCACTACTGTCATTGACATTTTGCTGTCTCTCATCATTCAGAGAATGCACTACAGCAATTCCTATAAGAGTACAAATGAATGTATTTGAGGCAATATTTTAAAACAATTGCTAAAGTAACATTGGCTAACAGTACCAACAATGAATGTGTTCATGGCAAACCTGGTGTACTTTGTATTGCATCTGAAAGATAATTATAACAATTGTTGCAGATTGGAGATTGGCTTGCTAGATAAGAGTAGTTACTAAGTAATGACACTTAGAAGATAGAAACAGAGTGTTATATAGTTAGGCAAATGAACTTGAATTTTGCAGTGTATTGGATTGCAAGGCATGATGGAGACATTGCAGTTTTGAAGAAGAACCTAGAGAAGATAAACATAAGCAAATCAAATTCATAGCGAAGAAGTATGGGCTTTAAGCAGGTAAGATATGGTATATTAATTGAAAGTAATATGACTTTGCTCATGTAGTGAAGAGTCAAAAAAAGAAATGTTGAGATGTCC